ATTTCACTATAATTTTACAATTTAAACTCACTATCAATTAATCTTTAACAAAAATAAAATTAATTTTTTTATAAATAAAAAAATTTTAAATTTACTCTAATTACCTTTTTTTTTTCAAAAATAAATACTTTAATTTTACTCTAAAGATTTAAAAAAAAATTCATAAATAACTCATTAACATATACCAAAATCCTATATTTAACAATTAAATTAACAATAAATCATGAATTCAACTAATTTTTATTTAAAATTACCAAATAAATATTATATATTAAAAAATTATAAAAAAATACAAGATAGTTCATATAAGTTCTTCACTAACCTCTGGTAGCTACAAAATTACAAGTCATGTTAACCACCACCACTTGAATTTACTAACATATAAAACTGTTATTTTAATTTATTAAAAATAAATAAAAGTTAAATAATTTATAAAATGAAGATTATTGGATGATTTTTCTGGTAATATTACCTAAGATGCACAAAAGTCTAAACCAAAGTTACTTAGAATAACCTGCAATGGTGAAAGCTTATACTGTAACATCCTAAATTTTAATTTTTAAAATTACAACATTTATTTATATATAATTAAAATAAATAATATAAATTACATATTTAATGATAGTAGGAAAAGAATATACAAGGAAATTAAAATTTTTCCACAGGTAAAGCAATTTCTAAAATAATTCATTGTTAATATAATATGATGAGAAAAATGAATTGTAAATAATCATAGTGTGCCAAAATAGTTAAGAAGATATAGATGCTAAACTTTCATTTACATGTAATAAATACAATAATTTATAATATGTTCAACAAAAAGGTGTAGGACTTAGAATGATAATTACATGATCAAAATAATTAAGTCCTAGAGCAGCCATATTTCATATCCAAAATATTGAGGACTCGATACTAATCATCACCATGTCATCCCTCAATCTTCGCTAGATCTTTAGAATCTAAATCCTCCTCATCTCCAAGATAGAGATTGCTAGAATCAGTCACGACCTCAACACTTGGGACTCGCTCAAAAGTAACTTGGGTCGGTCTTCTAAGATGATTATGGCCATGGTAGGTGCACAAGTAAGTCACAGTTGTCAGAGTCTTAACCGTAGCTCTATAAATATATATACACAAGGTGTGGTAGATCCTATTATCTATAGGAAAATCTAAGGGAATATTATAATATAATTTCATCTCCAAAATATAGATATGGCTGGGTACATTATCACAATCGATGGCCAGCTTAAAGTAACAAGTTCTTTGATACTAATTAAATACATAATTTAGTTTATATTATACAGAACTATATATCAATCTAATTCTTTCCTGAGGTGTCGTCATCCTAGTTCCCTGAAAATTTTAGTAAGGATTAACATCTATTCTACCATTTTACAAACTATATTACAGAAAATCATAGTTATGACATAAAAGAAAACATAATCATTTTAACATCGATTAACAGAACAACATTTATCACATAGCCACAGCACATGCATTTATCATAAATCATTTAACTTCCTTTCTTCAAACATGCACTGCACTGTGATCACAGAAATACACTGCCTTTAACATTTCTTGAGGTCTTATTCAACTAGGTAAATAGTTATCGGTTAGCCTATGTACATGGATATAAAGTATACAATAACAGGTCCCTTAGCAAAGGTATAGTCAGGCAACGAGTGTGAGGCCACGTGGCATATTTGATCTTTGAAAGAGTGTGTACGCATATGCAAATGTCGCTCACCACTCTATGTTCCCCCAATTTTTCCATCGTTTTTGGACTCTATACCTCCAATATATCTCTGTTACTATTCAGACTAGATCAATTCAGCACTTTACACTCTTCCCATACTTTTTTTCATGTCAAACTCATTATTTAGATAAAAGATCATGTTTATTGAAGTACTTTCATACTAAGTTCAAAACATGTATACCATCATAATATAGCACTAACACCCAAGATCGGCCAAATATACTTCATTAACCTTTCATCACAATCCAATATCATTTAATCATAAGGATCACACTTGCTCAAAATATTTCCAAACTAAGTCATTATCATACAAAATAAACATACAACACAATCATCCCAAATATAAATTATTATAACTTTTTACAATACTTACATATCACTCAATCATGTATTTATACATAAGAAAACATACAAAACTACTCTCATTAGTACAAAATATTCATTATGCTTAGAATGATAAAATAGAGCTCTCCTTATCTTGAAACGAAGTTTTGAAAGAAGAATTATGAAGGGTTTTGGTAAAAAACCAAGTTTTTTCTAGGAATCACAAAGGAGAACATTTTGAGAAGTAAGAAACAGAGAAACAAGTAAAAATGGGGGAACTAAGCTTTAAGAACCTATTCAGAGTCGATCAATTGAAGTTCCAAGTCCGAATTCAAAGGAAGATTGAAATTTAGGAAAGGTTTTCTTAAAGAAGAGAGTGAGAGATTAGAGAGAAAAAGGAAGAGGTCAAAACTTGATTGTAATACAAGTTTTCTAGGTTGAAAACCCTTTAATTAGCGATATTCTCACTGTAGCAAGTTATCTCTCACTACAATGAGAGCTTTTTATTACAATAAGCCCTTCTCTCGCTGCCGTGAAAAAATCAGACAATTTTTTTTTTGTTGTCTATATTCTAACTACAGTGATAGCACCTCACTACAATGAGAATTCTACCTATAACGAGAATGTTGATGGGTCATCCTTATCCATTTTTTGCTACAGCAAGGATCTCTTGCTGTAGCGCGAGAGAGCTTTAGAGAGCCTGATTCTGGACGCTCTTTCTCACTACAGCAAAATATTCTATAGCTTACTAATCAATTGGAATTTTTACAATCTTATTTCCTCTTATTTCTTGCTCTTTAACCCTTTTTTGTGCCTAATTGGTTTTAATTGAATCATTTTATAATGTTTCAATTTTATTTGGGCTTTATTTAATTTTTTCAGCATTAGGCAAATTCTGATACTGTTTTGGTTTCTGTGCCATATCTTGAGTTGTAGAGCTCATTTCATTATGATTCTTGATTTTTAGGAAAGCTGAGAGAAAGACGCACAATTCCTATGAGAGGTTAGAAACCAAATCTGATGATAAGATGTTGAAATTGGGCCTGGAAAAAGTCAGAAGTATGTACTCATAATTTTTTACCTTGGTGCAGTATTTGGGCCATATCTCAGTCTACATATGTCCGTTTAAGCTCATTCTAGTTGCATTTTGAAGCTAACATCCAGGCCTACAAATTCTCTTTATATCAGAAATCCAAATGGACAGATCTTCATGGCCAAAAATACCACGCAATATCTTCACGGATTCAGCATGGAAATTGAGCAGCAATTGCAAGCATAACTTTCCCTCCAAAATTCAAACTTGAACAAATAAGGATTCCAGAGACAACTTTGAGTAGAGGATTAATGTAATTGAATAATTATTAATTAGTTTTTACATTTTGACCCTTAAAAGCCTGTATTTAAATTTGGGCAGCAGGTTGTAAAAGAAGGTAGTTAGTTAATGGGTCAGTTTTTAGGGTTTTGTTTTTAGGGTTTTTGTCTCTTCTTCTTTGCCTCTTCTCTTCTCTCATGTTTTTAACCTTTGTTTTCCTCTATTAATGGAGGCTTAGACTTCCATCTAATCCAAGGATTGAAAAAGGGCTGCGACATTCTTGAGGATCGGTTTCATAATTCATTCAACAACAAATCTAGTTTCATCTCTTCCTTCTTTCCCTTTTGCTAATTATGATTTCGAATTGAAGTTATTCGTTTGGATTAATAATTGTGCAGCTATTTGATTGCATATTATTTGGTTGATGTATATAATTATTTTTGAAGGAAAATGAATTAGATTTTCAGGTTTGAGATCTAAGATTAATGACATTGATGAATTAAATTAATACAAATCAATTAGGTTCTATAGGTTTCTGAACTTTGAGTGATTGTGTGTTAATCGAATGCACAAAGGTTTTCATGTGAATGCTTAATTTGAATTGAGGTTTTATTCGAATTTAATGTTAATTACTAATTTGTTGGTTGATGCATCTTCTTAGAATCCGGTGATAGAATTATCATAGTTCTTCTAAATTCTTGTATTAGAGTTTTAAATTCTTGTTAACCTTTTATTCTAATCAGCATTATTTTATAGATCAAACCCCATCTAAATTTATAATCGTATAGCATTATCATAATTGGAAGACAACTCAGATTGCACCTCTTACTACATAATTTTTATGCAATTCGATTTTTAATAATTTGTCCGAGCGCGACACTCGCGATCACTTACACCATTTAGACTCTCCTAAATTCAAACAATTTCACACATACAACCAACATATAATACCATAATAATAAATATAAAAGCAAAAATGTTACACTTATATTATCAAAAATGGAAGAAAAAGAAGACGAAAGGAGAAGGAAAGCCTATTGCTATTCGTAACCTTATATGCCACATGTCAAAATATGTAGTAGTATCGCCATAAATTTGGCAATAACACCGTTGCTCTAGCAAATTCGACACTCTTTTAGATTGAAACACATAATTTTCTTTCCTCTTAGTTGTATACAATGCAAGCAGGCGGCAAGTATCGTTTGAATTGATACAAGATTCATTTTAAAAATTATTTAATTAATTTTCACTTTCATTTTATCAATATTTATGCTTACATGTGTCAATGTTAGACATACTATCATATTAAAAGGTTGTGATATTTGATTAAAAAATAAGTAAAAAAGTAAAGATGATCATGCAAGTGTGAAACATCATATGATGTGACAAAAAATATTAAATAGAGAAATATTTTTAAAAATAATAATTTTTAATGTGATTTATAAATTAAAAAGGTATTTTATATTCTTTTACATGTAGAATAATTATCATCCTTAATTATGTATAATAAATAATAAAAATTTTCTATTATGAAAAACACGTTATTTTATATCTAGTATAGAATGAAAGAAGAGATCGAATGTTATGGGATAAAAAAGCTCTAAAAAAACACGTTCATTTTCACAGAGGAAGACGCATAATGTAATAGAGAAGAACCGAACAAGAAGCCAGTCCATGAAATGATTATTTCGACGGTGCCCACTATAAAGGGAAACCTTCATACCTCGTCAAATTCATATTCTAACTTCAGTGATTCCAACCTCGGTAGAAACATAATCTCACACCTTCACAATAACTGCAAAGACCTTAAACAGGTCCAATCAATACACGCTAAAGCCATAAAAACCCGAACAGAACAAGACCCTTTCGTAACCTTCGAGCTTCTTCGACTATATTGCAAGCTAAACTCCATTCACCATGCCACTAAGCTCTTTCACTGTACCCAAAACCCAAACGTGTACCTTTACACTTCCCTCATTGATGGGTTTGTGTCCTTTGGTTCTTACAAGGATGCCATCAAGTTGTATGGCCAAATGGCCCACAAGCTTGTTTTGGCTGATAACTATGCTGTCACTGCAGTGTTGAAAGCATGTGTTCTTCAACGGGCATTGGGAAATGGGAAAGAGGTTCATGGGCAGGTTTTGAAATCTGGGTTGTGTTTGGATAGGTCCATAGCGTTGAAGCTGGTTGAGTTGTATGGGAAATGTGGGGAATTGGAAGATGCGTGGAAGGTATTTGATAAAATGCCTGAACGAGATGTCGTGGCAAGTACAGTTATGATGGGTTCGTGTTTTGATTGTGGGATGGTCGAGGAGGCAATTGGGGTGTTCAGTGAGTTGAAGACTCAGGACACGGTTTGTTGGACTGCTATGATTGATGGGTTGGTTAGGAATGGGGAATTCAATAGGGGTTTGGAGATGTTTAGGGAAATGCAGGTGCAGGGCGTGAAGCCTAATGAGGTTACTTTTGTTTGTGTCTTGTCGGCGTGTTCACAGCTGGGAGCTTTGGAGCTTGGTCGATGGATTCACGCATACATGCGCAAGTGCAATGTCAAGGTTAACCGATTTGTTGTGGGTGCGTTGATCAACATGTATTCGAGGTGTGGTGACATTGATCAGGCAGAGGCATTGTTTGATGAGATGAAGATGAAAGATGTGTCCACTTATAATTCCATGATTGGTGGACTGGCTTTGCATGGGAGGAGCATTGAAGCTGTTGAGTTGTTTAGGGAAATGCTTAAGCAGAGGATTAGGCCAAATAGTATAACCTTTGTTCGGGTTTTGAATGCTTGCAGCCATGGAGGGTTGGTGGAGCTGGGTTATGAGATATTTGAATCAATGGACACGGTTCATGGGATTGAACCGCAAGTAGAACACTATGGTTGCATGGTTGACATTCTTGGTAGGGTAGGTAGCCTTGAAGAGGCCTTTAACTTCACTGGGAGGATGGGAGTTCATGCTGACAATAAAATGCTTTGTGCTTTATTAACTTCTTGCAAAATTCATAGAAACACAGAAATAGGAGAAAAGGTTGCACAACTTTTGAGTGAGAATTCTAGGATAGATTCTGGATCTTATATCATGCTGTCAAATTTCTATGCTTCTTTGGGAAGATGGAACTCTGCAGCAAGAGTTAGAGAAAAGATGGAGAAGGGAGGGATCCTTAAGGAACCAGGTTGTAGTTCTATTGAAGTTAATAATGCAATTCATGAATTCCTTTCAGGAGATCTTAGACACCCTGAGAGGAAAAGAATCTACAAGAAGTTAGAAGAGTTAAAATATTTGACAAAGTTGGAGGGTTATTCGCCAGCAATTGAGGTGGCTTTGCATGATATTGATGATAAACAGAAGGAGTTGGCTTTGGCAGTACATAGTGAGAGACTTGCAATATGCTATGGACTTATCTCAACTGAAGCATACACAACACTGAGAGTTGTAAAAAATTTAAGGATATGTGATGATTGCCATGCAATGATCAAGCTCATAACAAAGATTACTAGGCGAAAAATTGTTGTTAGAGATAGGAATAGATTTCACCATTTTGAAAATGGAGATTGTTCATGTAAGGATTACTGGTAAATAATAATCACTTTTAATATATATATTTATAAGCATAATTATTGTAACCTAAACCGTATTTGTCATGATAGAGGTCGCAACCGGCTCTTCGAATTTTTTTTAAAAGGTTATCATCAATATAGGATACAAAATTTTATAAAATTTAGATATTTGTACATTGTGACCCATTAATAACAACTTATTTACACCAGGACAATGAAATATCAATTAGTACTTAAATATGTGAAATTTTGTAGATATAATTTACATTATTAGGATATAATTTACACTATTAGAATTTTAAATTAAATGATTAAATTAAAAACATTTACTTTTGATAAAAAGTTAGGTTCATATGATACGATTTTGTCTTGTGTAAAGGAATATTAATTGGATTTAATACTAAAACAAGTGGAACAATATTAAAAATGTAGTGCAAAAATTCTCATTTGTTTCAAAGAAAAATATTTTAATCTCAAAGTTCGAGAACAAATGTTGTGCTTTAAGCCAAAATTCTCTTATTAAGTGTTGTTAACAAACTAAATAACTTCAATTGCATTTTAGGAGAGAAGAGATCAAACAATTCGCTATAATGTCTCACATTATAGAGATATAAAGGATAACAATGATATTAGAGATTCTAGGTATCTATTCACATCACAATGACCATTATATTGGTATTAGATCACTACACTAGGAAAGAGATGTGAGAGCAATTCCGTTTTAATTTAGAGAGCATTTAAAATACTCTAAAATCTTGCGCTATCCAATATATTGTATTTAAGAAAATTCGCTCTCAATTCTCAAATATTGATATTAAAGAACAGTTTCAATGAACCATGAATTTGGAATTTAAAATTTACTTATTTTTTAGTTTTCTATTTCAAATCAAAATTAATTTATTGTTACGTTTAAAATTTCTTTATTTTTATCACAGATCAAAATTAAAACTTGAGTTTGTATGTTGTATTAACCAAATAGTCCACATCTGCAACACTAGTAGGATAATTCATGGTTAATAAAGAGAAAGAAAGAAAGAAAGAAAGAATAGAGAGCTATAAGAAAGGTAACAACAGATGAAAAAGATATCAACTTTGTTAGCATAAAAAAGACGAAAAAAACCTATAGACGTGAAAGATACCAACTTTGTTAGTGTATTAAAAAAATGAAAAGACGAAGAAGATGAGAAGAACTTACAGACATAGAAGAAACTAATTTTATTAGCAAGACAAAGAGATTCATAGAGCATGCTTAATTTATATGATAAAAAAAAAGACTTTAGAGAGCGATTCTTTATGAACCGCTCTTAAAAGTATACATTAGAGATCTACTTTTAGAAGTATATATTAGAAAGTAATTCTATATAAATCGTTCTCTAAAGATAACTACTTTTAGAAGTATACATTAGAGAGCAGTTCCATATTAACTACTATCAAAAGTGTACATTAGAGAACGGTTCTCTGTCTCAAAGGTATACTTTAGAAAGCGGTCTAAGGCTAACCGCTCTATAAGTATATTATTGTAGAGCAGTTTTTACTAACCGCTGTCTAAGTTAGCATTTTAAAAGCTCGTTTTTGGCATAGTTGATCTATCAAATATGCTTTGCTCAAAGTTCACTTTGAATCTAACTATTGGATCTTATGTAATGCTTGGGAGTCAAAAGTTAAGGTGGACACATACCTACACTTTGTGGTTAAGAACTGTAAAGAGTGCTCTTCCGATTTCATTTCATTTAATTTTTCTCCTGTAAATAAAGTTTGCAATATGCTTATTCATTATCATGCCAAAATGACCTTTTTCTGGTTCTTCTCTTGAGCTTGATTCTTCGGTGTAAATTCCAATTTATTTTTTTTAATAAATAATATCCGGCATTTTTATGTAAAAAAAAAGTAACATTGTTAAAAATTAACGCTAATTGATTACAAATTCAATGAAAAGTTAACTACACTCTTTTATTTACATTATTTTATAATTTGGACACTAAAACATCTAAAGTATTAGAAAAAATTAGATTAATTATTAAATCTCAGAATATTTTAACTACAAATTATTTTAAAATAGATATAAATATACCATTATCAACTCTTAAAATCTTATTTATAATCATCATGTTTATATTAAATGTTTTTCATGAATAAATTTTTTTTAATATTTTTAATTAAAGTTATTCAAGTAAAATTTGATGACATTAATATTTTGGTTTTTTTTTATTATAAAACATTTTATTATCATTCATAACAATTTCAAATTTTTTAGGTTATGTATTATAGATAAATTTGTGATTTTATTTTTTTATATAATATTTTATCAAATATATATAAATTTTTAAAAAATTATAATAACGTACCTGTACTCTAATTTTTATATCCAACACATATTGGTCATTGAGGTCTAACCTTAGCTTCAGTCCCACAAGAAATATGGAATGGCTAAGTGCTTCGGTTTTTTTTCTTGAGTGTAGGGACATAGCTAATATAATGATTCATTGCCTCATCATTTTCCAAGTGTTTAATTGTTGATCCAAGATCTAATATGTTTCAGGACAAATAAGCAAAGTGCATACTGGTTATTTCATATATACTTGTGTTGAAGCCCTTCTCTTTCTCTGTGTTTGTTCAAACCAAGAAAAATTCATCTTAACACCTTTATATGTTCACACTGAAATTACAATACAATAGTAAGAGATAACTGAGTCTCGTTTGTAATTACATGAAATTTTGTTTTGTGCACCCTGTGAACTAATATAACTGGTAGCAACATCCTAGCTACAAGCTACTCCCAGACTAAATGCATTGACACCAAATTACATGGCACACTTGTGCTTCTTTCCTTCTCCCTTTTCTTCATAAAAAAATAAGAAAAGAATCCCTTTCAAAAGAAACACAAAATACTCTGTAGTCTGCAATAGCTTCATGAACGTTGAGCATGCCTACAACTTCATCCCACAATTTTTCTGTGCCTTCTAATACAATCCTTACTATCTCCCCCACAGTTCCATCATGTTCATACTTGTTAGATGGACAAAAGTATATATAGCTACAGTGTTTTGCAAAAATGTATTGATTATTGATATGCTTCTTTTGTTGTCATCTCCTCTTTGCTATTTGGAATGTTCTCTTCAAGAAAAGATTTGCAGCTCGGTCGTTTCTATAGCATAACACTCTTAATATTGTGTTGGGATCTGCTCTGTTCCACTTTCCTGTAGTTGGAGGCATTGGCAGCTTCTGGCCATTTCCAATTAGTCCTACTCCACTTGCCTCACTTGTTAAGGTAGTTAAGTTTTCCATTAATTGTTCAGTACTCATGCCCGTCAATGCTATCACTCCCTCCACTACCTCAGCCTCTTTCTGCACCACATTTTCTGTTATCAATTCTTCTCCAAGAGTGATGAACAAATTCTTCAAGCTGTCAAAATCCTCTTCTATACTCTGGTGATCAGATTCATTGAACACCCTGGTGGTTCCACCAGCAAGCAAAACCATGAGGAATGCATCAAATGAGGCCTTCATAACTTCCTTCACTGCCAGTGCTTGAGCTCTTTCTGTCAGAATTGCAGTCATTAGCTTAATGTTATGCTTGAGGATTGTTAATAAACTACTAATCCGAGCGTTTGCTACTTCGCCGGCATAGAGGCTTTCATAGAAGAAAGAGTTGGAGTCAAGGAACATGAGGCGGCAGGAAGCAACTTCTGAGACATGCTGGCAGGCTGCTAGGATGGAGGCGTTGGTTAAATCAAAGTATGAACTGCTGTTACTTTGAGTCTTTTGACTGTTTGTGGAACCGTGACGATTTGAAGGAACAACACCTGGAGTCAGGGAGAGTGATTTGTCAAGTGAGGGGATATGAGAAAGGAGATAGTTTAAGCTATTGAGACGAATGTAGAGGCGTTGTGTTCCACGGCTAGTGCATGAATGAGGATGGTTAGCTTCATATATTTCATATATGTGTGGATCTTCACAACTAACACTGCAAGGAGTAGCTATCTTCCACAGCTTGTGCAACTTTGAGTTCTGGTTGCACCTTGTCAGTGGGGGAAGAGAGGGAATGTAATTCTCTTTCAAACCTGTGAGAATTCAGATGAAAACATAAAAAATCAGAATGCTACAATTTTCAGTACTTCCTAGTCATTGTCAATTGAATAGCAAATACTATTACTCTACCTGTTCTTGGGATTTTCTTATCTTTTATTTCAAAATTCAACCAATTAAGTCTATGGGGCTAATTCGGCTTATAATAATTAAGAATACTTACCACATGCTGAAACCAACATTGTGTACTCTCTGAAGATTTTTTGTAATCCATCAGCAAGTTCTTGAACTAAATCTTCAGTTATTGGTATTGGAATTTGAAATAATTCTTGCACAATTTTCTTGGACAAACTCACCAGCTCTACCACTGATTTTCCATAAGGATCTGATTTAGACTTTGGATTCCATGCCTGAAATAAAAGAAGAAGAAGAAATGCATAAACTAAGCTCAACAACAAAAAATGTTATGTAATTTTCTAAATGCACAATATGCTGTGTTCTCCCTCCAGTTACATTTGTAAGAAAGAGGCTAAAACTTACTTCATTTTCTTTTGCTTTTTGCAAACACTCTCTCCCTTTTTGCAGTGATTCATCTATCCATTTTCTCATAAGGTTCAGGATGGTTGACTCAACTTCAAAAGGAATCATCTCCTGTACTACTGTTTTGCCACCATCCTCACAATCTGCCGACTCTTCAACTACCATTTGAACCAAAACATCTTCTAGCTTTTTAGCTCTCTGCAGTACTAAAATTATCTCAACTGTAATTGATGTGGTCATTTCACTTAAATACTGCATCAGCACATGTCCATATAAATTGTTCAGTGTCAGTGCTGCTACTGCAGCTGCTATGCTGTGCCATTTCTTTAATATTGGACTATAATTTTGTCTCTCCTTCATTGCCAATTCTTCAGTCTCCTGAGCTAATTGAAGCATAATTTCACCCATAGTTTTCTTTGTTCCAGATTCTGCAGATTTGGCAGTTGCTCCTTCCACTATCTATAATCATCAGAAAACGAAGACATTATGATATTCTTTTCTTATCTTTTACTTTCTAAATTCATAAGCAGAAAGTGATAATATCCAATAAGTGAAGCACTACTGGGGATTAAAAAATGCATTACTTAAAATATTTTCAATTTATTAAAAGATAACACGTTTAAAGTAGTCTCTAATTTAATTTGATTAACTTTTAGCCCTTAAAAAATTACAAGAATCGTATATATTTAGTCCTCTTTGAATGACTAAAAATGCACTGTTTTTATTAAATCAAAGGACTAATAGCGAGTAAAATTTAAACAGTGATTGAAGTTAAAAAGGTCATTTTTTGGAATCAAGAATATTATATTCAAGTAAATTATATACATTCTTCCAACATATGTTACCTACCTTTTGAAACGCAGTTTTTAAGGAAGAACGAATATAATCATCAACCTGATCCCCTGAGGAATCCATTGTAGTTTTATATCCTTTCTCTTGCTCTTCTCCATCAGAGATTGTAACATTTCCTAAAATCTTGGATGCTAACAACACCACAGGAAGAAGGTTCTCAATTTGTCCAATGGCTCCTCCCTGGAAATAATCATGGTAGTTGAGCAATCTCTTATCTGCCCACTCTTGCAGTGACCTGAGCACAGATGTCAATATCTTAATATACAAAGACTCCTTTTCTTTCTTAGCATCATTTGCCACCTCATTCAACATAGCATGTGAGGCACAAAGAAGGTCAGGTTCTATCAGCCCAGTTTCTACATATTGCCGAAACAGCACCCATGTGAAGATCACATTGTGAATTGGCCTATTGATCCCAAGTGTTGACCATGTTTTCTTCATTAGCTCAAGTTGCTCATCCACCTCATCAAGGATTGCTGTCTCATCCTTTAGATCAAAACTAGACTGAAGAAGAGAAATGTAGAGGTGAATGTTGACAGGGAACCCATTAGCCCAGTGGCAAACATTGGTAGGATTGTCACTTGGGCTTCTCATTGATAAGGAAACCACTGAATTGCTGAAGGATCTCATGGTGTCTGAGTTCTTACTTGTGTCTAATGGTTTGTGTTCTGCATTACGTATGATGTCTTTAAGGTTCATGGCAAATGTATTGCTCTTTTCTATAGGAATTGAGGGGTGCAAGAGGAGCCCTACTTCAAGGATCTTAAGCTGTCTCTTTTGCCACAAATGGTACTCATGGGAATCATTGAATTCTGAAGGTTTAAGGTGGCGAAGGAGCTCCAAAGGGAGAATGATAGTTTCTGCTTGCCGACCAAGCTGCAATTCAAGTATTTTGGAATAATTAGATCAAACGAACTTTTCATTATTGTAGCAATATTTGGCACATTTTCTGTAACCAAAGCATTGAATTCGTCTGATGGTTTCATTGTTTGGTTAATCTATTTCAGTTATATGCCCACCTTGATGACTCCAATTTCCATTTGCACACTAAGAATTCAGTTGTAAAATTCTTAAAAATCAAACACGAGGCAATAGCCTCTATTTCTTGATCAGAACTCTTTTTAAATAGACTGATTTTATTTACATATGACCAAATTAGACAGGTTTCAACGCCTAATATATATATCATGTGACTTAATATCCGAGTTCTAACTAGGGAAGTAAGTAGACATACATTATTAGAGAGCCAAGACCAATTTAAAAACTTACCATATTTAAATAAAACGATATTATTATTTTCCATTTAAAACACCACTATATTTTACATTTATTATATGGAGCAAATTAATACCCTAGTCCTTTTCAAGCACAACACTAATATCAATGCATCTGAAATAACAAGAGGGAATTCATTCCCATTTGATTCCATGTTTTTGTCATAAACACTAGGCATTGACGATTATGCCAAAGACCATCATACAAAACTAAAACTACGAAAATAAAAAAAAAATAAAAAAAAAGCTCAAAACAACATCGAGTGCATCACCCAAAAGAGACAAACAAAGTCCGAATCAGTAAACAAAAATAACAAACATACATTTTAAATCATAAAGTAATTAAAAAATTACTATAATTTCACATATATTATTTTATGTATTTTTTCAATTTTTTTAATAAACCATCAATTTCACTGTTTATTAATATAAAATTAATAAAAAAAATAGAATATCCTGTTAATTTACAAGTCACCTTAGATATTACAATTTTTTATTCTAAAATATTTTGTTTTAAACCGAATTTAATTAACTCGTGTAATTCATCCATCTCACATCACCTAGTAAAATTGGCTGTTGCAGTTGAATTTTGATGAGTGTAAAATTATAAATTTTGAGAGAAAAAAATGGATTTAAAATTGATGGTAGAAGACAAGAAAAATGTTGCATATGTTAACTTACTTGACCAACTAGCGTCCTCATGAGGGTTTTTCTCAGCCGGCTATCGCTTTGGTCGGACACTCCCATCTGCAGCCTCATGACTTCCGCCATAGTCATTTGCCGCCGCGGCACCATGCGATTTTTGGGGCTCTTCTCACCCACCACCGGCGACGACGGCGTCAACGGCCATTCTCCGGTCGAAATCATCCTCTGAGACAAGGAGCTTCTCAACATCTTTAACCCAAGCATCCGCTTCACCGTGCTCGTCTGCATCGCCGCCGGACTTCCCCCACCGCCATTCTCATTTTTGGAGTAAAACGTGAGCGCGCTCCGGCCACCAAATCCCGGCGACGACCGGCACGCCGTGAAGAAAATTTCATAGGCAGTTTCCCTTATATCATCGTAATCAAGACCTTGGAGATCGCCAAATGGCCACGCAAGGTCACTTTCCTTCTCATAGAGGTGTAATTTGCGTTTGTTAAGATTTAAGAGATCAGAATGACGATTGTTGTTCATAAGCATGGACGATGACGTGGAAGGGATGAGGCCAGGATCGGATTCATAGCGCACTAGTTGAGGGAAAGCATTATTGGGACATGTTTCATGGCGAACGTGGTAGATTGGTAGAGGAGGATCGGAGGAAGGTGAAGGGAGGGAAGGGAAGGGACCGGGGTAGGAGTCACGGCGGGAATGGACGGTGTTTGACGGTGGCGACATGGGAGGGAAGATAAGCCCCGGCAAGGATTCACGACGGTTGTGGCTGCCGGCGATGGGTTGGGGTTCGAAAAATGGGGAGAGAGAAGGAGGGAAAGGGTCCGGAGGGGGTTCATGGTGGTCGTGCGAGTGGTGGAGGATGTGAGGAGGGATGGAAATGGTTGGCGGCGACGGCGGAGGGAGGGCGCCGGCGGAGGAGTCGTGGCGGCGGGCGTGTAGACCCATGTGGTGGTGGTAACTGCATGCAACAAGGGTGTCACGTCAAGCGTTATTGTGTTGTGTTATTGACGGTCTTTCCTTGGTTGCATGCGTTTGATTGATGAGAGAGATTGAGAGATTAATGAGTGATGATGCGTTCGGGTAGCTCTCTTCTCTATTTACAATTTTGCATCTACTTTTTTAAGATAATAACATTATCACTTCTTATGTTTCTTTCTTTGGATCAAACCATCTTCTTAAAAAGCAACTCTTTTCTCATCTTAACTGCTAACTATACCACTATAAATTATAAATATGCTATTTTGTTTTATATTTAGAATATAGAGTTTAACTAAATCAAACACTTTTCCATTACCAAAAGAATTTCTACAAGCGTTGTTTTCTATCCAATAGCATTTTGTAAAAGGTAAAGTAAATAATTAATTAACAAGGTTTAATTTCACTAATGTTCATGAGCCTAAGTCAATTTCTTTTTCATGATTGTACCTGTGTTACGTAATTTATGTTATTAGTTATGAACAATGTAGTTTGATAATATGATTCGGGGTTACAACACGATGAAAATATCTGTACAATTAAGGCAATTAAGGCTGTTTTTAACCTTTTTGGGACCCTAGACGAAATAGGAAATTAAGGCCTTTAAAAAAATTATAAAATATAATAAACAAAATAAAAGCATATATTAATAATTTTATTAAAATAATACAACTTTTTAAGTGACTATAATTTTTTTAATAAAATTATAAAAGAAATATTTTTTCATTCAAACAACTCCTATATTATAATTAACTACAAAAACACAAAAAAAATATAAAAAATGAGTTCTCTGAGGATTCTGAGATGCAAAATCATTAATGATAACATCAACATTAATGTTTTCTAAAAATTCTTTATCGATTGATAAAATTGTAAGACCATTCAACGGTTCTTGTAACATTGATGACCTTAGGTAGGTTTTAATTAACTTTAACTTTAAAAAACTTCTTTCAATTGATGATATAGTCATCGGAACCGTAAAAAAAATTCTATAAGTAATTAAAACATTTAGATAATAATCTGTAGATTTTACAAACTTAATAATTATTTAATTTTTTAGAGAAAACTAAAATTCTCCATGAGCTTTAATATTAAGAATAGTAAAATTTTGAAATTAAATGAAGTTTTGAGTTTACAAAAGTCAATGAGTCGACTACGTTTATAGCAAGTGAGGTGCGAGGAATTAAAAGATCTTTTTTATTTTTTTTATTTTTTTCAACTGCAAACTGTAAGAGCTGAATTTTTTTTCAAGTGAAAGTAGGACACGATTTTTACTTTGGGCCCTCTTTTAAGCTTAGGCCCTAGGCGATCGCACCTCTAAACTACCCTCAGAACCGGGCCTAGGTACAATGTTAGAATTTTTTATTTTTATGAGTGCTTGGATATTGGTATCATAACTATTTAAAGTAATTTTTTATAGTTTGATATATGACAAAATTCAAACTATGTTATTAAAAAAGAAGGTATTTTAAATTTTTTTAAAAAAAATTATTTGAATTTTATCCCTTCTAAGTGTTTTAATAAAAGAAATAGTCAATATAGCCGTACTTGCACAAGTTATTTATGAAAAAAAAGTTAAATATTATTTATTATATTTTATTATAAGAGAATTATTATCTAAAAAATACAAAATCATGAAAAAAATATATATGACTTTAGGAGAGAGAAGTATATTTCAAAAGCTTAAAGGAAAAGTTTGTAAAAGGTGTTAAAATTACCAAAAAAAAAAAAGAAGATATAAAATAAAATTAAAGAGATAGCTATTGTTTAAATTATTTAAAATATCATTAGCAAAAAAAAAATTTAAAATATCATAGAATGAAATACAACTTAATAAAAATATTTTATTTTATTTCATCTATTATTTTAATTTTATCCGATTACAGAAGTATATAATGTAACCAATTTATTAATTATTAATTTATTATCATTTTTATTTTTCTAAAAAATGAAATGAAACGTACTTTATTTAGTCGTATATATTTTAATTTTTATATAAAATTTTTATTTTAGTTCATAATATTTTTTTTCACCTATCAACGGATATTCAACATAATATAATGATCAAAATTTCTTTCCAATATTTTGTAAATTATTTTCAAAATAATTTTACTTTATTTAGTTTTATATACTTTAAATTAATATAACATAAATTTGGAAAAAAAATAAAAGTATGAAAATGGTATACTTGTTTATAAAAATATAAAATATGCAATCTTTTTATGAATAAAATAAATTAAAATTTATATAATTTTAATAAAACATTCATGATAAGTACGTCCAATAACATATTCTTAATATTATTTTGTATAATTATTAGTGGTCGCTTTTTATGATGTTAATTATATTATTTTAATTTTTTATAATTTATATTATTATTATTATTTTTATATCATTATAAATTTTTAATTTCTGATTTTTTTAATTATAATACTAGTTAATAATTAAATTTAGCATGTAACATTTTGTATGCTTACAATTATTTTTTGATTTTTTTAATAAAATTTTTATACATATTTTATATTTATAAAATAAAATTTTGAAGGAAAAATTTCTATTTTAAATTGTTGTGTACAGAGATCTGTAAATTATAGTTTTAGTAAGAATTTTACGTGGACTCTTTGTAATAATACACTTTTTTTTTTTTTTTGCTAAGAAAGGGGGCAAAACGCCCAACAACCCAAAAGCCTACACAAAAGGTCTAGGAAACATAGAACTACAAGAGTCTAAGCTTAAAAAGGGAAGAAGGGGGATCCACAAATTGGACACAGGGAGAGAGGAGGTCAAGGCCTATCTTGGCAAGAAAATCAGCACAACCATTTGCCTCTCTACAAATATGAGATAGCCTAATAAAGCTAATAAACTTCAAAGCCTCCCTAATGTTACAAATTAAAGGAAATAAAGGATGGGAAGCTGGTTACAACTTCAAGATGAGAGAGATGGCTTCCTTAGAATCTGACTCAATCCATATAGCTGATAACTTGAGTTGAATCACCATTTGAATACCAAAGAAGAGACTCCATAACTCAGCAGCCACAGGGGAACAGAGATCAATCTTCCTATAGAAACCTACAATACACTTGCCAGGAGCATCCCTAATTAGACCCCCACAGGCAGCAGCACTAGCAACTTTGGATATAGCACCATCAACATTCAATTTGAAATTATCAACAGGAGGAGGAAACCATCTAACAGTCCCATGACATGACTTGGAGACTTCCCTGCAAATTGGAGAAATATAGTTTGCATCATAAAGAGCCTTCATTATAATAGTATTAGGATTATTAGAATAATTGTTGAAGATAAAATCATTTCTGTCCAACCATAGATACCAAAGGATAGTACCAAAAATTAAATTCCAATTCTGAAATTTGTTAGCATTCAAAAGAGAGAGATTATTTGTTAACCAAGCAGACAGGCTAACACTAAAAAACTTGACCCACTGGTCAGCAAAAATGAAGTGACTCCAAACAGTTTGAGCAAAAAAATAGTCCCTTAACACATGCATAATAGTCTCTTGATCACTACCACATTTAAGACATAAAGGAGAATCAGTCATCTGTCTTCTAAACCTTTCTTCATTAGTTAATAATTTACCATAAGCAGATTTCCAAAGAAAAATAGAAATTTTGGGAGGACCCTCCCACTTCCAAATAGCCTTAAACAAGGATTGATCAATCCTACCATTAGGCCTATCATGGTTCAGCAAGGAAAAAGTAGATTTGATTGAAAATAAACCATTACTAATTAAGGCCCAAAACAGAAAATCCTACGATTCAAATTGAGTTGGAGGCCTAATACGATCAATAATTTGGCAAATCTAAGCAGGAAGGGCAGGGGAAATTTTATTCCAATCCCACTCTCCATTAGTGGAAAACATAGCCACCGGAAGATCTAAATCAGAATTAGGAATTTGAAGCAGAGTATAATGAGAAAGATTACTAAAATTAGGGACCCAATTATCAGTCCAGAATTTTGTAGCCATACCATCCCTAACAAACCACCTCAGACCTTTAGAAAAATGAGACCAAACAGACATCATACCCTTCCAAAGGTGTGAGACTCTAGCATTATTCCTAAGGCCAATATCACTACTCAGTTTAAAATTATACTTATGAATAAGCACCTGAGCCCAAAACTCAGAAGGAGAATTAGTAAGCCTCCAACAAAGTTTCATCATATAAGCTTTATTAAGGGTATTCAAGTCCCTAAACCCCAAACCCCCCTTCATTCTTAGGCAAACAAATTTTCTCCCAACCTAAGAGATGACATTTCCTACCATTCAACGAACCCCAAATGAACTTTCTACAAATGCTATTTATCTCATGGCAAACGGAACTAGGGATGATGAGAAATTGCATAACATAGGAGGGAATGCTCATTATACATGCTTGAGCAAGCGTCACCCGACCAGCAAATGACAACGATTTCATTTTCCACATGGATAATTTTTTCCTAACCTTATCAATCAAAAAGGAGAATTGATTCCTGGATGGTTTCTTTGAGACAATAGGGATTCCAAGATAAATCCCAATCTGGTTACAAGACTTAATACCTAAACACTCTATTATAGAATTTTTAATGGTGGGATCATTATTATTAGAGAAAAAAATCGAGGATTTGCCACTATTAATTTTTAGGCCAGAGGCAGTACAAAAATTTGTCAAAACCTCCTTTATAATCACAGCTTGATTAAGACATGCTTTGGAGACTAGAATGATGTCATCAGCAAAGAAAAGATGGGACACTTTAGGCCCTAAGGGACTAAAAGAAAAAGGAATCCAATCATTATTCAAAATCTTATCACTAATTAAGTGAGCAAGTTTCTCCATACACATCACAAAAAGATAAGGGGAGATAGGGTCCCCTTGGCGAATTCTCCTAGTAGGTAAAAACGCCTCTATTATCTCATTATTCCAATTAATGGACAGAGAAGGGGAGGAAATGCAGTGATAAATTAATTTAATCAG